AAAAAAAAAAAAAAAAAAAACTCTCATCTAAACCATTTTTGTTGACATAATATTTTATTGTACACCATAGTTAATATTTTAATTTTTTTTTTAATTTTTTTTAATTTTTAATATATATATATTTAAAAAAAATATGTATTTATATTTCAACTAAATTTTAAATTTAAAAAATGAATATATCTAAGTAAACAAGAAATGCAGTTGTAGCGTAGGCATGTCACAGATGATTATAGCTCACTCTTATCAAAAAGAGAGATTATATAGACAAAAACTACATAAAAAAACTCAATCACATAACAAACAAAATCAAAATTTCATAAAAAAAACCCAATCAAAACTTCCAAACAACCTTATTAGACCGAAAACTGTACATGAACACAAGGTGTTGGTGTAATAAAGTGTGAGAGTCCTACATTGGTTGGAGAGGAGAACGAAACTCTCTTTATAAGAGTGTAGAAACCTTCTCCTAGCAGACGCGTTTTGAAGCCTTGAGGGGAAGCCCGAAAGAAAAAATCCAAAGAAGACAATATCTGCTAGCTAGTAGTGGGCGGGTATGTACTTTACATAAAGAGATAAAAGGGTAAAACAAAGATAATGAACTGATCTTCTGACGGCTGCATATGAAAAATACCTTATTTTTTTGTTTGTCACAGATTTATATATAACTGTTGTCAATAATTCACAAATAGGGAGTTGAAGAAGAGATTATGTCTGCAATTGTTAATTTGGAGAAATATTTACAAGATGAAAACTATGAGAATTAAGAACCTGGATTTTATTGTGCGGCTCCAGATACATAGAGAGTTAGCGCTTCATATACTCTTATTCTTCTTCTACTTCCACCTTTCTTTTTGCCTCTTTTTAAGGGGGGAGAGGTCTGGTCTACACTCAGATCATTCACTGCTACTCCCTCCCAGGTGACCTGAAGATTGAACTCCAACAAAAATTTCTGCATAATAGCAACTATTCATCTCTCCCTCCTCCCTCTTTCTGCAGACCATCTTACCGTCGTTTTTTACCGCCATGTCGAGCTGACTGATGATGTTATGTTTTCACTTTTGGCTACAGAAATTACATCCTTCGGATGTAATTAATCAGATGAAAGATATCAATGTTGATTAGTGACTTTGAGTAAGCTTTTCACCAGAAGAGTATCCCACCATGACTGACCCAGTCGACAAAGTGTTCGGAGTATTTCATATTGATATCGTCGTGACTAAGGTCAGTTCCACACCGTTGTTTAACCTAAAGAACACAAATGAACTGATTAGTAAGATGTTTTTTTATCCAGTTTTTGCAGGAAGAAGAAAGGGCCAAGTTAATAAGGTTGTTCTAAATCTGAACTGCACAATTGATTAAGTATCCTGAATTGTTCATAGTAACTTTCTATCTTATGAGTGATGCAGTGATTCCTAGTGTTTGGTTGGGGAAAATTGTACTGAATCCAATGGAATTGGTTTCCATCCACTAACAAAAGCATACAGACATAATATGTCAAGCGCCAAATGGGTGAGATTAAATATAAACAACTGACCTTTGAGCTTGATCCAGACTCACTTGCAGATGACATAAAGTCAATCTTCATCTCACTTGCAACATTTTCCGATGAAAGACTGGCGACAGACCTATCAACCATGTATAATAATTAGTAAACAGATTCCTGCTTAAGAAACCAAAAGCTACAGAAGGCAATAAAAAACAGTAAATAATCAAAGGTCGATTATAATTCTTAGACAGACTTCATTGATACTTCTTTTAAGGTTTCAGTTCGCACATCATGGAATCCAAAATAAAATTGTTCCAAGGAAAATCAATGTGAATCGATGGCAGGAAGAAGCAAAAAAGTCGTAATGACAGTGAGAATTGAGAGGCGAGCAAAAGCAATAATAATGCTTTTCATATCTTAGAACAGAATGCACAAAAAAATAGAAATACCTTTCACATAACTCATCTTCACAAGAATTCCCAGACGAAGAAATCCAGTCCATATCCAGAAAATTTGACCAGCTGCCTGAATCTCTACGTTCATCGTGACAAATATGATCAATTTCAAGCATTTGATCATCCTGCACGTTTTCATGAGTATGTGTACGGCACATAGAGGGAGTATACCTATGACAATGACCAAAATATTTCAAGCGTCATCATTTGGTGAAACATGACAATACATAAATTTGTAGATACTTGTTTATTAGTCAAGTCGAGAACAGTCTATTGCACAATGCACAAGAAAAGAGTTGAAATCTTAAAAGCTTACTTGGAGAAATTTTAGGATAATTACATTTTGTTATTATCACATAACAAATCCTATAATGTAACAAGAAAAAGTATAGGAAATTTGATGTTCCATACCTGCAAAGAGATACATCAGATTCGCAAGTTGAGACCTCTGGTGCAGGGTCTGAGAAGCCTGTATTACATTTTTCGTTCAAATGAGGAAAGCCCCTGCTGCTTCCGTCATGTACAAGATCAGACTCACTCTGACCAAGTATATTGCCATCTGATAGTGATCTTTTAAAAGACGTCCTTCAGAAGGGTGAAAATTTCCATTTAAAATACTAATTACCAGTCAACTCTTTAACCAAGAATAACAAAAGATAGCATAGAGTGCGTAGTGTTATTTCTCATGTTTCCTTCTATGCTACACTCAATATGCAATCTGCAGAATGTCGGTTAAATTCATAGAGCATAAAGATGTACCTGACATTATCATCAATAAGATCAGGAAAGCGTTTCCCAAGATCGTAATGTTGGTCGGAGTCTAATTCCCACAATGCTGGCTTTCCCGGCTGTGGTTGATAGTAACCTAAGAACCTGACCAAATACCATGTCAAATAGTCCGTTATTTCTTCCAGGTGCAAAATTTATACAACTTGCGGACACTATGAATCTCTGACTTACACGTTAATGGCACGTTGCTTCTCAGCATCTAGATATGCATTGCTGCAATAACGTTGTAGTGTTCTAAAAAACTCCTGAGACTGCGTTGCAGCTTTCCACTGGCCTCTCCTCTGGGAAAATATCTGTGGGATGTGAATAAAAAATTATATATAGATGACAGGCAACTCAGAGTAGCAGGTCAAGCACAAGCATGAAAAGCACAGGACATGCCTTAAGGCCATTCAAGTAGGGACTTCACAACCAAAAAATATTATCGGACTTCAAAACAGTTAACTGTCACAATCGCCTTTTTCTTGGCAGCGGATTTACTGATTGTGCGGCACTCACTCTCAGCACTGAGTGAGTCAAGCCAACTTTCGATCGCGTCGCCTACGGCCAGGCAACGTATACTCAAGCCTTTGGCCTCGATTTGAGAAAAAGGTTTT